GGGAGGGGGGGAGGGTCTGTGTGATGGAACTTCTACAATCACTCCGCACATCACTCCACGTGTCTGCGCGCCGGGAGGAAACATTGTATACAACAGAGTGTTATAAATATAAAATGTATATCACATGTACACTGATCACAGCAAACACATGACCCAGCTCAGACCTCCCAATCATAGAGTACTGTACAGTGATAGGTGAGACCTCCCAGTCATAGAGTACTGTACATTGACAGCTCAGACCTCCCAGTCATAGAGTACTGTACATTGACAGCTCAGACCTCCCAGTCATAGAGTATTGTACAGTGACAGCCGAGACCTCCCAGTCATAGAGTACTGTACAGTGACAGCTGAGACCCATCAGTCATAGAGTACTGTACAGTGACAGCGCAGACCTCCCAGTCATAGAGTATTGTACAGTGACAGCTCAGACCTCCCAGTCATAGAGTATTGTACATTGACAGCTGAGACCTCCCAGTCATAGAGTACTGTACAGTGACAGCTCAGACCTCCCAGTCACAGAGTACTGTACAGTGACAACTCAGACCTCCCAGTCATAGAGTACTGTACAGTGACAGCTCAGACCTCCAAGTCATAGAGTACTGTACAGTGACAGCTGAGACCGGCTCAAAGCACAAACTTTAGTAACTTCATGTTTGTTCTGAGTCAGTGATTCCCCGAGTACAGAAGCCGAGGGATGAAGATGACAGCAGCCGAAATACTTGGACTTTAAAACCCGTCAGAACGGATATTTACATCATGAGAGGTTCATTTTCCTGAGCAGTTTACCTAAATGAGAGGCGACAGCGAGGGGCCGAGTGTGCAGAGGCCATGCCGGGCACGGTGCCCACACAGGGTATCAATAGTACAGGTGACACTCGGAGAACCCAGGGGAGGGGGGGATGGTACTCCTCAGCGAACACTATCAGGTAACGGACACAGGGAGGAGAGCCAACAGCACTGTGCGTGTGTGTATACAGTATATATATATATATATATACAGAGACATTGCTCACAGACACACAGATGGTATACAGAGGGATGATGGACAATAGACTGCAGACATAGTACAGGAGGTGGTCAGAGACTGCAGACATAGTACAGGAGGTGGTCAGAGACTGCAGACATAGTACAGGAGACGGTCAGAGACTGCAGACATAGTACAGGAGGTGGTCAGAGACTGCAGACATAGTACAGGAGATGGTCAGAGACTGCAGACATGGTACAGGAGATGGTCAGAGACTGCAGACATAGTACAGGCGATGGTCAGAGACTGCAGACATAGTACAGACATAGTACAGTAGGTGGCAGGGCTGCAGGTTGGGTACCAGGGGAGTATATTATATGGAGGGTACTCATAGACACACAGACAGTACAGGTGTATTGGGGAGGAGGTTGGTACTCATAGACAGTACAGGTGCATTGGGGGTGGAGGTTGGTACTCATAGACAGTACAGGTGTATTGGGGGAGCAGGTTGGTACTCATAGACAGTAGAGGTGTATTGGGGAGGAAGTTGGTACTCATAGACACATAGACAGTACAGGTGTATTGGGGTGGAGGTTGGTACTCATAGACACACAGACAGTACAGGTGTATTGGGGTGGAGGTTGGTACTCATAGACAGTACAGGTGTATTGGGGTGGAGGTTGGTACTCATAGACAGTACAGGTGTATTGGGGTGGAGGTTGGTACTCATAGACACACAGACAGTACAGGTGTATTGGGGGTGGGGGATGGTACTCATAGACAGTACAGGTGTATTGGGGGAGGGGGTTGGTACTCACATACACACATGCAGGCCACCAGCTTGGCGGCGTCGTCGGGCACCGGGCAGCTGGGGAAGACTGGCTTCAGCAGGTAGGTGGCGAAGACCAGGGCCACGATGTACTGGGACGAGGGTCGGATGATCAGCAGTTCCACCCAGAGTTTGAGGAAGGCCGGCAGGGCCCCGTACACCTCCAGCACATACGCGTAGTCCCCCCCGGACTTGGAGATGGTCGTGCCCAGCTCGGCATAGCACAGGGCGCCCACGATGGAGAACAGACCGCACACGGCCCAGACTATGAGCGAGAGCCCGGGGGAGCCGGCCTCCCGTAGGACCCCGGTGGGGGTGACGAAGATCCCGGAGCCGATGATGGTCCCGACAATGATGGCCACGCCGTTGACCAGGGTGATGTTGCGCTGCAACCCCACCGCCTCCGGGACGGCGCCGTTCTCCTTCAGCATCTTCTCCCCGGCCTCCTCCTCCTCGGCCGGGGACCCCGACTGCCTCCGCTTCACCACCGACATCGCGCACCTGGACCGGGTACCTGACCCACCTGGACCGCCCTCGCGGAGCAACTGTCACCTCTTCCCAGCCGCGAGCACGTGACACCCACCCCCTCCTGGACGCTGCGCTGTCCTGGTGCTGAAAGCGCTCCGGACCGAGCCCTCCTGTGTCCAGCCGGAGCAATGCCCTCAGAGGGTGCTGGATGACCCCGATAGGGGTATCTGGGTTCTCCCCTGTGATGTCCTTCAATGGGTGCGGTGCCCGCCTGTCCCTAATGCTGCCTCCACGTGTTCCTCGCCACTGACTGTCACCGGCACATTGCCTACCCTCCTCCTCTGCCACCTTCCGCTATGCTTCGCTACCCTCTGCTTCTCTTCTGCCTTCTTCCCGCCTGCACTGCCTTCTGCTCCCCCTGTATTGCCCTCTGCTCCCCCTGTACTGCCCCCTGCCCTTCCTCTGCTCCCTCTGTGCTGTGCTGTCCTGTCCTCCGGCAGGCGGTGTGCGCGGTGCCCGGTGTCGGCTCTCTCAGCTCTGTGCCATCCTCCTCGCCTCTCACACGTTTTATCCCCGGCCCCGCACACGTCACACATACATGATAATAGTGATGTAACAATGAGGAGATGGGGGGAGGGCGCCGCCTGGTGGCAGCTACTGATCATTGCACCGACCGCTACTGCAAGCGGCAGGTGCAACCGAACCAGACTTCTGAACTGCCACTCTGCATGCTGAACTGTCACTGTACACACTGCTGATCTGTCACTGTACACTGCTGAACTGTCACTGTACACACTGCTGATCTGTCACTGTACACTGCTGAACTGTCACTACCGACTGCCTCCGCTTCACCACCGACATCGCGCACCTGGACCGGGTACCTGACCCACCTGGACCGCCCTCGCGGAGCAACTGTCACCTCTTCCCAGCCGCGAGCACGTGACACCCACCCCCTCCTGGACGCTGCGCTGTCCTGGTGCTGAAAGCGCTCCGGACCGAGCCCTCCTGTGTCCAGCCGGAGCAATGCCCTCAGAGGGTGCTGGATGACCCCGATAGGGGTATCTGGGTTCTCCCCTGTGATGTCCTTCAATGGGTGCGGTGCCCGCCTGTCCCTAATGCTGCCTCCACGTGTTCCTCGCCACTGACTGTCACCGGCACATTGCCTACCCTCCTCCTCTGCCACCTTCCGCTATGCTTCGCTACCCTCTGCTTCTCTTCTGCCTTCTTCCCGCCTGCACTGCCTTCTGCTCCCCCTGTATTGCCCTCTGCTCCCCCTGTACTGCCCCCTGCCCTTCCTCTGCTCCCTCTGTGCTGTGCTGTCCTGTCCTCCGGCAGGCGGTGTGCGCGGTGCCCGGTGTCGGCTCTCTCAGCTCTGTGCCATCCTCCTCGCCTCTCACACGTTTTATCCCCGGCCCCGCACACGTCACACATACATGATAATAGTGATGTAACAATGAGGAGATGGGGGGAGGGCGCCGCCTGGTGGCAGCTACTGATCATTGCACCGACCGCTACTGCAAGCGGCAGGTGCAACCGAACCAGACTTCTGAACTGCCACTCTGCATGCTGAACTGTCACTGTACACACTGCTGATCTGTCACTGTACACTGCTGAACTGTCACTGTACACACTGCTGATCTGTCACTGTACACTGCTGAACTGTCACTGTACACACTGCTGATCTGTCACTGTACACACTGCTGATCTGTCACTGTACACTGCTGATCTGTCACTGTACACACTGCTGATCTGTCACTGTACACTGCTGATCTGTCACTGTACACTGCTGATCTGTCACTGTACACTGTGCTGATCTGTCACTGTACACTGCTGATCTGTCACTGTACACACTGCTGATCTGTCACTGTACACTGCTGATCTGTCACTGTACACTGTGCTGATCTGTCACTGTACACTGCTGATCTGTCACTGTACACTGCTGATCTGTCACTGTACACACTGCTGATCTGTCACTGTACACTGCTGATCTGTCACTGTACACACTGCTGATCTGTCACTGTACACTGCTGATCTGTCACTGTACACTGCTGATCTGTCACTGTACACACTGCTGATCTGTCACTGTACACTGCTGATCTGTCACTGTACACTGCTGATCTGTCACTGTACACACTGCTGATCTGTCACTGTACACTGCTGATCTGTCACTGTACACACTGCTGATCTGTCACTGTACACTGCTGATCTGTCACTGTACACACTGCTGATCTGTCACTGTACACTGCTGATCTGTCACTGTACACTGCTGATCTGTCACTGTACACACTGCTGATCTGTCACTGTACACTGCTGATCTGTCACTGTACACACTGCTGATCTGTCACTGTACACTGCTGATCTGTCACTGTACACACTGCTGATCTGTCACTGTGCATGCTGAACTGTCACTGCACACACTGCTGATCTGTCACTGTACACACTGCTGATCTGTCACTGTACACTGCTGATCTGTCACTGTACACACTGCTGATCTGTCACTGTACATGGCTGATCTGTCACTGTACACTGCTGATCTGTCACTGTACACACTGCTGATCTGTCACTGTACACTGCTGATCTGTCACTGTACACACTGCTGATCTGTCACTGTACACTGCTGATCTGTCACTGTACACTGCTGATCTGTCACTGTACACACTGCTGATCTGTCACTGTACACACTGCTGATCTGTCACTGTACACACTGCTGATCTGTCACTGTACACAGCTGATCTGTCACTGTACACACTGCTGATCTGTCACTGTACACTGCTGATCTGTCACTGTACACTGCTGATCTGTCACTGTACACACTGCTGATCTGTCACTGTACACACTGCTGATCTGTCACTGTACACACTGCTGATCTGTCACTGTACACACTGCTGATCTGTCACTGTACACTGCTGATCTGTCACTGTACACACTGCTGATCTGTCACTGTACATGGCTGATCTGTCACTGTACACTGCTGATCTGTCACTGTACACACTGCTGATCTGTCACTGTACACTGCTGATCTGTCACTGTACACTCTGCTGATCTGTCACTGTACACTGCTGATCTGTCACTGTACACACTGCTGATCTGTCACTGTACATGCTGCTGATCTGTCACTGTACACTGCTGATCTGTCACTGTACACACTGCTGATCTGTCACTGTGCATGCTGAACTGTCACTGTACACACTGCTGATCTGTCACTGTACACACTGCTGATCTGTCACTGTACACTGCTGATCTGTCACTGTACACACTGCTGATCTGTCACTGTACACTGCTGATCTGTCACTGTACACTGCTGATCTGTCACTGTATACACTGCTGATCTGTCACTGTACACACTGCTGATCTGTCACTGTACACTGCTGATCTGTCACTGTACACTGCTGATCTGTCACTGTACACACTGCTGATCTGTCACTGTACACTCTGCTGATCTGTCACTGTACACTGCTGATCTGTCACTGTACACAGCGCTGATCTGTCACTGTGCATGCTGAACTGTCACTGCATACACACACTGCTGAACTATCACTGTGCATGCTGAACTGTCACTGTGCATGCTGAACTGTCACTGTAAACACTGCTGAACTGTCACTGTGCATGTTGAACTGTCACTGTAAACACTGCTGATCTGTCACTGTGCATGCTGAACTGTCACTGTGCATGCTGAACTGTCACTGTAAACACTGCTGAACTGTCACTGTGCATGTTGAACTGTCACTGTAAACACTGCTGATCTGTCACTGTGCATGCTGAACTGTCACTGCATACACACACTGCTGAACTATCACTGTGCATGCTGAACTGTCACTGTGCATGCTGAACTGTCACTGTAAACACTGCTGAACTGTCACTGTGCATGTTGAACTGTCACTGTAAACACTGCTGATCTGTCACTGTGCATGCTGAACTGTCACTGCATACACACACTGCTGAACTATCACTGTGCATGCTGAACTGTCACTGTGCATGCTGAACTGTCACTGTAAACACTGCTGAACTGTCACTGTGCATGTTGAACTGTCACTGTAAACACTGCTGATCTGTCACTGTGCATGCTGAACTGTCACTGCACACACTGCTGAACTGTCACTGGGCATGCTGAATTGTCACTGTGCATGCTGAACTGTCACTGTACACAATGTTGAACTGTCACCGTGGGGAGTCAGATGTATGCAGAAATTTGTCCACTTACATCAGGTTATCCCCAATCTGCCACGATCAGTTCAGATGTTCGGCCGGGAGACGAGGAGAGACACAAGGTAAGTCGATGGAGGCAGCGTGCACCCGCACAGACTCCGTGGGACAGGAAGTGCCAGGAAGAGACAGGAAGAGAGAGGAGTCAGCGCTGGAGGGATGGCTGAAAACTACAGGAGAGATGAAGATGATGAATCGGATCAAGAGGCTTCATTTAAGGTAAGTCCTTACCAGTGGCATCACAAGGAGGGGTTCAGGGGGTGCAGCCCGCACCTGGGGTTACATCCATTGTAGGGGTGACACCAGAATGACTGGCAGTCATTTTGGTGTCACCCCGTTTAAAAAGTCGGGCACACGGTCACGGACCGAGAGCCCGACAGAGAGGAGGGGACCCGGTGGCATACCTCATCCCGCCGGGTGAACGTCCCCTCCTCTCTCTGCCAGTATCCATTACCAAGATGGCCGCTGGCAGGCGTCAATCAGATGGCAACGCATAAGGTTAAGAACAATTCTTTAAAGAATAGGAGAGAAGCGGGCGCGGCATGATGGGAGGTGCGAGCTGTTTCTATAAGTCCGGCCGTGTCAGAAGATTGTCCAAACATTCCTATCAGGACAACCTGAGATTACTCTGCATGCTGAGCGTACCGAGGAGCAGACGTTGGACACAGGCGCCACCTGGTGGTGATTATTATTATTGTACAGGCTTTATATGGCGCCAACAGTTTGCGCAGCGCTGTACAATATAAGGAAGACATTACAATCAGTGGCGTAACCAGAGTTATGGGCGCCCGGGGCAGAAAATTTTTTTCGCCCAATCACAATACAATTC